ATGAGCGTATTTGTAAGAAACTTTTTGCTTTCTTCGAAATGCTGTTTCCAAAAATGCTTAGAAAAATTTCTCCGAAACGACTCAATAAGAAATTTTTACATTACCTTATTAAATATAGTTATCAGGTAATGATTGACAATACAGACCGATTTTTAAGCCACTGTGCAATGTAAATTTTTTCACAAAAATCGATTTTTTTAAAGAAAGTCACCATTTTGTCAAACATTTAAGACTTGATTAGTCTTTCTACTATTAATGAGTTTTTTTTTTGTTTTAAGCTTGGCGCTAATTTTACGCAGAAAAATGTTCATCACCGCCAGACACCGTTTTACAGAGGTCCTCATGGAGATCGACACGGGATCAAGGGAATTCAAAATATTTCAAAATGAATCACCGATTTTTAAAACTTTTAAATTTCTTCATATTTATTTAAAGAAAAAACCACTTTAAAAAACATACAAAAGAAAAACCGATATCTCAGACTTGCAAGTGGGTATTATCACCTAATGCATTTTTAAAAAATATGTCTTAACAAAAAATATTGAAAATAATTATTTTTTGAAAAATTCATTATGTTTAAAAATCAACACTTTTTTTAAGATTATTCTTAGTAAATTATTTAGTTAGAATAATATTTTCGTTAAATATAATCAATGCAATCAGACTCCAAAATTCGGATTTGGAGGAAACTTTTTACGATTAGATTTCTGATTTTGACATTTTGGTAATGATTGATAATTAATATATATCAATATACAGAAAATGCTGACTGCCCACTAAGTTACCTATGGTAGTCGTAATCCAATCATAACTTAAAGTTTGGTATACTATTGTCAAGCGGAAACTATACCCGCGCTATTAAAGATATGGAATGCAAACATAGCTTAAGAGTTTGAAGTTGGACAGATTATTCTTGCGTCTGATTCTCCGCGTCAAAATTATTCAAAGAGTTATTCTTCAAACTAAACTTTTTTTCATTTCTCATAATTTTTACAATTCGTAATACAGAATGTGATATTTACTCTGATGTAACCGCTGACTAATTTATGGTGTGCTTCTAATTGGCATTGCAATTACCAAAATTGTCAAATGAGTTAGTTGCAAATTTTGCTCCCTGACTAAAATTTCCATATTTCAAACTAAAATAATACTTTTAGCAGCACTATGTAAAGGACACTTCATTATGTTTCCTACTCATTTTGGCACACAATTTGTTTGCCACTATTATGTTAATTAGTGTGTATGTGGAGAGCTTTGTATATGTTTATTTATGTTTTAGTATAGTATATCAGTGTAGATATAGGCTACATATGTGAAACTGGATATCACCGAGTGTAACCAATTTATTCATAGATGCAACTGGTCACTGTGATGAATAACAAAATGGCTTTATTAAATTTCAAGTGAACCTAATTAGATGCATAATAATAATAATTTTACAGGTAGAGGGCCCGTATTCCCAAATATTAGTACTTAATCATTGAAGGAGAAATTTCTTGGAGGATAAAACACACAAAAAAGCAAATATGTAGTTACAAACATGTAAAAGGAAATAAATCTACAAAAATGTCTCCACTGAACCTAGATTTTTTTTGTAATAATAAGGTTATGCAAATATTTTTTGGGGAAATTAAGGCAAACGGAAGGTGGAAAGCAGCCAAATTCAAAGACGTGTAATAGGGTGGAGCGAAAAAAATTTTTTGCTTGCTTAGCCTGAAAGTAAAATTTGTAGATTATAAAAAAAGAAAATTTTTGTAAAAAAAAACTTTTTTTTTAACATCTAGAGGCACTTTTAAAGTAAATTTCAAGTAAAAATTTTTATTACGCAAAAAATTTTTGGATAAGTGTTCTAGAAGCTGTGGAGAGTCTTCTTTCTGGCCAATTAAAAATTATTAACTTAAAAAAAAATTTTGTGGTCGTTAATGGAGTTTTAAAAAAAATTCTTAAACGACAACATGCTTTCCGTAAGCGTTAAAATAAATTAAAAAATAAATTTTGAGTCAAAAACCGCCAAATTCCGTAATTTTTATATAAATGCGAAGAGATTAAACCAAAAAATTTTTTTTTTGTTTTTTTTTTTGTTAAAAAAAATTTTTTTATCGAAATTTACTTTAAAAGATGTTTAAAAAAAATTGTTTCCCAAAAATTTTCTTTTTTTATAATCTACAAATTTTACCCTCAGGCTAAGCAAAAAAAAAATTTTTTTCGCTCCACCCTAATGTGTAAATAAAAAATATATCACAGCAAGATTTCACTGAAAATTCTTTCGAATTTCTTGAATAACATCACTTTGGGGCGATTCTCGTCTACCTCTATTTATCTAAACAACAATAGCAACAAATGACTTAAAAATTTATGAAGAAATGCCGAAAGTACAATATTATTTACTTTACCACATTTTTTAATTTATTCAAGTATACTTATCTTAATGTGACGTATTTAAAGCAGTCGGAAGAAACGTTTCAAAATTTTGCTGAATGCTGATTTTAACTTTTTTTTTGTTATGATGTTTCGATTTTCTTAAACTAGCGCAGTGCATTTTTTGGTACAGTTTGATAGCACTATAGACCTAATGCGTACGCTAGCCAACATACTCCTAGTTATGAACTAATCTCAATACTAAATGCCTTTAATTTTCTTCGATTCTAGCCTCATATAAGGCTACATTCTTAGCTTCCTAATCTCAAAAAGTTTATTATTAGAAAGGACACATGGTATAAAATAACTCTAAAACGATAAAAAAAAATAACATGGCACATATATTTTAATAGACAAATAATAGAGTAAAATTATTAAATTCCAATATACTGATCTAGATCAACCAACAGAAGTACTAAAACAAACAAAATCTCACGGTTCAAAATTCAATTAAAAATCAGAAAATTTCTTATAGTAATTCTAAAACTATTTCCCGTGCAGTATATGTAGATATTCCAACAACAAATTCACCTACATGCTAATACTCGTACCCTATACACCACCACTTACAATGAGACCACAAGTATACAAGTATGTTACATGCGTGTTAGGTTGTAGGAGAGCCACAAACAAAAGAGAAAGCAAAAAGCTCAACAGTCATCAGAACAAACGCGAACAATGAAAGGAAGCTGACTAATTGGAATTGTTGGAATTATTACATCGAAATGACAGCTGAGCTAAACTGATGGAGACAATGAGGCAGCAAACAATTAAATTAACAACCGTTTATGAGAAAACCTCGTAAAATGTCAATCATTTCGCTCAAATGTACGTCAATAACAATAAGAGCCACTAAAAATCACAATTAAATCCGCAGCTTGTTCAACTTGGTGAGAAATTTTCCACAAAAAGACATAAGCCCAACCAACAATTTAATTATTTCAAGTGACGCATTCTCACCAGTGATGGAAAAGTACGCACAATTGTGCATTTTTCCGCACTTTCAACTCTAGTCGGCAATTTACGCACAAATGACTACTTTATTAATTTCGACACTCTCCACTACATTTTCGCACTTTTGCTGCACGGCGTAATTAAAAATTATCAAATACCATCCCTGATTCTCACTCCCTCTCCTTTCTCTACTCTCTCTTTACTGCTACCCAGGCACCAAAAATTGGGTGACTATAATGCCATACGCATTCATAGTAATTTGGTTGCCAGTATACAGAAGCAGTTACTTACAAAATATTAATAATGTGAAAACCTTTTTCAACAGCTTTTTTTAGCAAAGAAGTAGCGTCCTTAGATAGATAGATTGATTGTTAAGGAATAAACTGCGACCTGTGGCGTATTGTATGCTCGTCTGTTATCACAATAATTCATTAAACCCAATTAAATAAAAAGGTTTAGTAAAGCTCATGGGTTAATGGCTGTGATGTTCTCTCTTATTTGTGCTGTTGTGTGTCTGCGCCTTAATCGCAGAAATTACACAGACCTGTGGTACAGTAACCTAATATATGCAGACGACTTAGCCTCCAATGACCTAAAATCTCACCAGCTATTTAGTTTTTTTTAATTTGTAAGCTTTAAAAATGCTTGAAAACCTGTCCATGGACATTGACAGCTTTGTACGTAGACCCACTATCCCAGCCCTAATTGACATACTACTCCTCGAGAATGGAGTCCTCAGATTCGCTTCTGGTATCCAGTAAAATTTTGAACCTTTTTTTCAAAATATATTATCTTTGTAATATCGTATCCAGAAAGAAATGCCGTAGGTGGATTCTCCCCAATGTCACTCTGTTTTTAGCGTCAATTACATTATTCTACTAGTACTGATGACATGAGGGCTAAGATAGACATCTTTTTGCCATTTTCACAGCAATATGGAGCGAGCTGAGGTCCAGAATCACCTTTAGTTGTATACACATGCCAGCCTCTGCACATTCGTCAGATGTTCCTTAACAGTTGCTAGTAAGACCCTTGATACCCAAGATGCCGTCCCATAAGTGATCATTGGTCTGACCATGATGTTGTACATCCAGCGTAGTATGTCTGGTTGTCAGCCCCAGGTTCTATCAGCAGCAATTCTAATTTTTTTTAGTAGTATCACTATCCAAATTAATCTAGTCAATTAGGTAAGTAGAAGATATTTTACTGTCCCGATTACAAATATATAGGTGTTTATCGATCAGAAAATTTGTCCAAGTACTGCTTTACTGAATGCGCTCATTGAGCTCTAGACAATACTTCTTTCAATAGTTTCCAGTCTATGATTATGTAAAACAGCACAACATCAACCACATAACTACATTAATTAAGAATAATTGGAGGGATTAATTTTTAATCACCACCGCCTCCTTATATTTTATAAAACTGATTCTAAACAAACGTGTTTCATTAATCTGCATCTAAATTCATTTTTATCGCTTATTTCAATGATTAACGTGGCAATGAAAATCAAAATATGTTTCTAGTATATTTTTGTAAAGAGAATAATTAAATAATTCCACGATTTTATGCCACTTAACAGAAGCTTAATTGTATTTACTGTTTTCTTCTACGCCTTTTCTTTACAGGAAAATAAAATTGGATAATAGGAACCGAAGGAAAATCTACTCTTCTCACATAATCCCGCAATTTGTCGCAATTATTAATTCTGGTCACAACGCAAATCCGACGACACACAATCAACTAAACATTGAGTTCCAGCGGTCCAACGCACTCCCACTAAATACCCGTAGGCAGATTTGCGCATTACTTTGTAGCCAAATGCAAACAAAGCATCATCAAATACGAGGAATACAAGAGTAACTGAAATATGCTGCACAATCAGAGCGTCGCGCCCACACTAGGTCCGACGGCGCCCGTTATGGTCGCGCTGACAACATCGTTCGTTGTACGCCCGACAATGGCGGTGTTGTCGGGAGTTTGCCCACCCAATTGGACCAACAACAACACCTTCGACTGCATTAACGCAACCATGGACAATGGCGTGGGCATTGGTGGCACAAGCGCAAGCTTCACCGGATTCCCGGAACAAGATGGCGCAGCGGTGGGTTATGATGTGAATTACTCTTTGCCACGGGATGGCCTATTTGATTTCGAAATGGACCCATTGGAGCGCGTTGTGTCAACCATTGTGCCCGTATTTTTCGGCATCATCGGACTCGCAGGCCTGCTGGGAAATGCGCTTGTCATTTTGGGTGAGTTTTATACTGAAAATCGAATCTCGAATATGTGCCGTAAACAATTTTTGCGAATGTGTGTGTTGACTGAATATATTTGTTTGTGCTCATTTGGATAACTGACTTTATGTACACGTATGTTTGTATATTTAACCAATGAGTGCAAACAGTGGGTGTGTACGATAACAGTTTAATGGGTCTGCGGTTGCAAGCACATAATTTTAGAGCCAGCGGTGTAAAACTTGTGAATTTTCGAAAAGGTTAATTATTCATCATAATTCTACAAAATGTGCCATTAATCAGAGGCGCTAAGAGTCGCTTTTATATTTGAACCATTTAAGGCCTTTGAATTTGGTTTTTTGTAGGATTTTAAAATTATCATACAACATTACTTTGTATGCTATGTATTCTTTATAACTCAACTAAACAAATTCACTTAATAAAATGCAAATCATGCTTAAATTGTTAATATGTTCAAAACTTTTTGGGAAATAAGTCGAAATGGCAATGTTCACTTAGATGCCTACAATTAGGCGCTTTCTAATATATTGTATGCTATCAAAGACGCACACCTTTTCGACAGCAATTAAGTACTCAACGATTTTTTGTCAATGTAAAAAGAATACTTCATAATATTTATGTGTTGCCTTAAATATAATTTTTGGGAATATACTTTACTCCGGTCAAATAAACAATAAAAGCAATAATAATCACTCTTTGAGTGGAAATAAACATTTACATAAGTTTCCATTTCAGGGATAATATTTTCAGGACCTCATTAATTATGTTTAATTCATATGTAAGTGCCTACAAACCAATATTTCCTATGAATGTGAAGGATTTATAATTATTTAAGAGAGAGCTAAAATCTACTGTAACCAAGCATTTAATACTCTTGCAATTTGAAAAAATCAAAGGCGGGGAAGAAATCGAATAAATTACTATCAAATGTTTTTATCTTATCAGCTTATGTATATTATAAGTCGTACACTCAAGATCAAAATAATTATCTCAAGTGAGATATGCCTAATTAAGGCTAAATTAAATTTATAGGGTATATAAGAAAAACATCAACTAAAGGTTGGAAAATCGCCATTTCACTCTTGGCCAATGAAAATCATTATTTGTAGTATATGGGAGTTGTGGTAACTCGTAGAACAATTTCACATATTTTTGGTATATCCAACATTTTACTTCATTTTGCTAAGATATCTTACCTATTGACCAATAAATACGGTATAAAGCCAACCAGAAGTTTGAAATTATTTTATAATTTTTATCAAATTCTTGTATACGCTAAGTTTTAATCCGATTTTAACCAGTGTTGGTATTACAACATATCATTACCAGAAATAGAAGAGCTCTAAATTTCATTAAGAAACCTCATAAATTGTCCAATATATAAGGTATAATGTTAAGCGGATATATTAAAAAACCGAATGTTAGAAATATGGGGACTTGCGGAAGTTTTGCTCTGATTTCATTCATTTTAGACACAATGAATGCTCTCATTACAAAAATATTCTAGAAGAATTTCAATACTAGACCTCAATTTTGGGTGTCTGCGTCCTTGAAAAGTTATAGTACAATTTTGATAATTTTTGGGCCCAAGATAAAATACCTAGAGGCCCCTATTTGTGCAAAGTTTATTCTGATAACAACGTGTGTGTTTGATTTGTGTACTTTAAAGTGAAAGAATAAGATGGAATTTAAAAGTTTCTTATATTATATGAGTAGTAGGCGTGTTTGCTCATTTTCACAACGTACAATATAAATATTTGGGTAATCTCACACGCCAAGTTTGATTGAAATTGGTCCAGTAGTTCCTGAAATGTAGTATTTCACCTAAAAGTGGGCGGTGCCACGCCCATTTACCGATTCCACCTCGACTACGTTTAATTTCTTCCGTTTACAATCAGTATCAGGCAGCAATAAAAGCGTATATGTATGTACTCGTATAATGAGTCTTGCAGTAAAATACTTGTATGTGTAATAAAAAGTGCTTATGTAAAGCGCAGGTACAAAAATGTAGCAAAAGTGTTGAGGCGTGTGCAAGCGTGCGGACGTTGAGTGCTCTTCAAATGTAGGACCTACAAGTACTCAGGTAAACGAGAATGTATACTTTGGCCTGTATGAGACTATCAGCATGTGAGGCATGTGTATGTATATGATTGGATACGTGATCGGGCTAGTAAGCTTTGCTAAGGACCAAAAGAGCTTTGTTGAGCACCTATGTTGTTTTGATGGCAAGTGGGAAGTCAAGGTCATTTAGTTTTTTTTTTTCTTTTTGCAATTTCCTTTCTTTTGCAAACCACTTCATTCCCCGGTGGCCATTGTGTCTTGCAATTGCATGCAGTATAACATGGTACATCGACTAGCCTGGTACTTATCATAGATTTTTTCTTTCACTCAGGGGCTCCTTTGTTATAATAATAGCCAACCTCTCACACAAGTCTGAAAATATGTGCTACTTGCTGCTTGATTTGTCAGAAAATTTTGTAAAATTTTTCTCAAGCTGATGATTTGGAGGGTAATCAGGTTTGAGGTTAGCGTTAAAAACGAACTCTTCACTTGATTCTATGCTGCCGTCTTCTACAATTTAGAACTTAACAGACTTATATATTTCTGTTTTAAAGATAATAGATTTTTATACCTTTTAAGTTCGCATCTCTTTGAAAATCTCTTCAAAAAGATATGATAGAAATTCATTCATCACGAAGGGTTCAAGTTTATATAAAATTTATTAGTCATTAAGTTTCTTTTGTCCTTACATCGTTGTACGAATGGGCCAAGGATTGATTTCTGGCCAAACCCCAAAGCGGATGGGTGTGTCTGCCGAGAGATGTGTTTTTCGCGATTTACAAATACACATATTCCACTTAGGTGCTAACCAATAATAGTGCTTGAATTTTCAATTTCCAAGGCGAATTCTGTGCTAGAATAGAAATATTTTAACGAAGAGTATTTTAAACAAATTTTTTAAGTTACGATAACCGGAAACCTCGCGAGAACTATATAGACCCGAGGAAAACCGCTTAGAAGAGAGGAGAGCCAATGAAAATAGGAGATGAACAATGAGAACTTGGGATATAGCCCAGTGACAGTCGGATTGGTAAGAGCCAATAAATGAAAGCTGTTGAAAGCCAGAAAAGAAACAAACTTTTTAGTATAGGAGGCAGATTTACAGAATGTCAACGAAGGAAAAGCCGTGAAGTAAAACCGGGGAAATCAACTGAGCTCAAGGATCCAATTCATTTTTATTGCACAGACTGTACACATTTGTTCTTATCCGGCGTACACCTACTCATACCTATATTATATTGTTAACATGATACACCAAAATTTTGTGGTGCGGCACTTGCTTTCACACTTACAACTGTCCTCTTATGTTCGTTGCCTGTTCTCCTCATTTTACAATTATAACAAGAGAATCATCTTGAAACGATTGCTGATACATACACTTCGTATAACACTTGCTGCTGCAGTGGTTTGGTATAAATGGTGAAGGATTTAAACCTATACAAGTACTTACTTTAACTTAAATGACTTACAAATTTGTTTTCATTCTATTCAACTAAGTTTCAGAAAAAAAGTTCAATGAAAATTGAGTTTTGAACATTAAGTAAACCGAAGAGTTGTAAGAGGTTACTTACATTATTTAAATTTGATCATATACCTATATACAACATATAAAGTATATATGCATGCAGTATACCATATACTTGTACACATAGAATAATTTGTTTACATGCAACGGAAGATGTTTGGGATTCGTTAGCCACAAATGTGACATGGTTTAGCTTGTTTTGCACTAATGTCCCTTTTTATATCATTCACATGCACATATGTACCGTTGTATAATTTTACCGTACGATATTTACATAACGGCTTATAACAAAGTAAAAATTATAAATTCGTCTCAAAACTTGATTGAAACAAATTTGTTGGTGGGAATGTGTTCGAGGACACAAATAAGCCCAAACATAAACCATCAACAATAAAAGAAGCTGTAAGGTAAGCATTTATTTTCCCTGAGTACTTGTGAAAACAGCTACATATTTTTCTAACTTTTCTGAATTTGTGCATAAGGGCGTTGACGATTTGTCGCTCAGCGTATATCATTTATCATGAGCTTCGTAGAAAAAATATATATTTGTAAGAGCAAAATGGTTTAATTTGAGCAATAAGAAGATGATATGATAGATGACACTTGATGTTAAAAATGTATATATACCTATTAGTATACGTCAAGCTTGTGACATACACATACGCTCTATAATGGTGAAGGAAAGTTGGGTGTGTATATATATATAGAGTATTTGTACTAAATTTTAACAATTCGTCAACCATCCAATGTTTCTTTAAAACACGAAGTTTTCAACTGAAAATCATATAAATAGTTTTCTAAGTATTTAAATCAGCATTTAATCCAATTTATTTTACTATTATGTAGTCCACCTGAATCATGAGTTGATGTTTTATACATAGTTTCTTTCTAACCACAAAACGACTGGAACTATCAAAATAATAGATGACATATGTAGTTGGTTGGTTGAAATGTGAAGAGAAATGGCTTAAAAAGCAAGTAGAAAATAAGTGCAATGGCATCCACTAGCATAAAATAGTGTAATAGACTTCCGTATGAGCTCTACATTGTTTCCTTAGTATCGCAAACATACAAACCTACATTCAAATAGGCGAATATGGACAAACAACAGTTCTGTACTCAACGTACTCGTGCAGTCTTTTGGGCATTCAATTCAACAACGAAACAGTTCTTAGTTTGTCATTTTCTCCAATTATAAAAGTGTCTAAGAGCGTAGCATTATTCACATACCATTGTTGAGCCATTTTTTACACGTCTTATCTTTGTATTGTAAGTGACGCATCCCTTTCCAGCCTGTATAAAATCGTAAACCAAAAAAGTACACCAAACACAAAATTGAGCTCCAATTCCTCAAATAATTAGTAATGATAATGATAGTCTCTTCATATAAGCTGTTAGTGATATTTGTACACATAATAGAGCAAATACCAGGAAACCAAGTTAGTTCGGAAGCAATATTTATCTACTTCCGCTGTAGTCAAGTAGATTTAGTAAACGCCTAGTCTTAGCTACAAGTTCAATTTTAGGAAGAATAGATAGGTAATTAAGAAATGAAGACGGAAGCTTTTCTACGAATAACAACCGTTCTCAATAAGTGCCTCAAGACTATTGATTTGTAAATCATGACAACTGAATCGAAGCGGAATTGTCCGCATAGGCTTTAGACTTTACATTAGGGTGGAGCGAAAAAAAAATTGTTTTGCTTAGCCTGAGAGTCAAACTTGCAGATTATAATAAAAGAAAATTTTTGGAAAAAAATACTTTTTTTTGAACATCTAGAGGCCCCACTCACTTTTAAAATAAATTTCAAATAAATTTTTTTTTGGATCAAACTTTTCACATTTATATTGTATAAAAATTACCGAATTTGATGAAATGGCAGCTCTTGGATATCTTCAGGTTGCTCTTGGTCCCAAATGCGGCAATTTTGCTTGTTTACATACCCATTGAGCTAGAAATGGGCCCCATCGCTGAACAAAATTTGGCTTGAAAACCCATAGAGCGAAGCCGTACTTTGTAATAAAGTAAATAAAGAGAGCGGCGACCCGCTTGTCTAGGCTGCAACATAATATGCGATATACGCGTCATTGGGCCACGGGAGGTTAGTCAATGTCATGCAATTAAATGCAGCGCGGCACCCTCGCCCAGTTGACTCTCTACAAAGCGGTCGTGTGCGGAATTGAACATAAATAATATTAAAAGTTCGATGTTCATATATCATCATCTATAATATATGAAGTCCTCGGCCCCCAAGTAGGATGGCAAATGGAGTGATCTGCTAGTATATCAGTATAGTGAATGAAAGGAATGAATTTCAAATCCAAACAGTCATAAGACAGAATAATAATTCGATTATTTTTGTTATACTAATAATAATAATATTCATCTCATTTTAATTTCAGTTGTCGTCGCTAACCAGCAGATGCGCTCTACCACCAACCTGCTTATCATCAATCTAGCGATTTCGGATATACTCTTCGTCATCTTTTGTGTGCCCTTCACGGCAACTGATTACGTGTTACCCGAGTGGCCATTCGGCAACTTGTGGTGCAAATTTGTGCAATACATGATTGTGGTCACCTGTCATGGCAGTGTCTACACGCTGGTGCTGATGTCTCTTGATCGTTTTTTGGCTGTCGTACATCCGGTCACGAGTATGTCTTTGCGCACCGAACGCAATGCGATGCTGTGAGTACAATAGTACTTCAAACAACCTACATATCGCTCATAGAATTTGGTGTAAGGAGATAAAAAAAATTTCAATCATATATAATTTCTTTTTGCAGCGCCATCATTTGTGCTTGGGTGGCCATTGTGACATCAGCCATACCCGTGGCGTTGTCACATTCTGTTCAACTGTACTATTTCAAAGGACGCAATTACACAGCGTGTGTCTTTTCATCGCATGAGGGAATCTGGAATCTAGTTGCTTTTCAGGTGAGTGACACATTTTTTTCATAATAAGCTCCTCTACACCGAGCACAAAAGTGAATCCTCACCATTTTGCCGGCTTTTATGCAATATTTCAGTAGTCAAATTGGAAAAAAGGAAAACTAATCATAATCATAAAGTTCTAACTTTAATATAAGAGTGACATTTTTATGGAAAAGTTAGCCATCACATATAAGACACATATATTCAGCGAGATATTAATTTCATATTCTAGTTCAAAATTTTGCACCATGATCATCATTTATAGGATATGAAGAGCATTGAGAATTTGTGATAAGTCTTCTAGGATCATATATTGAAATGTTTTAACAACACCACCGCGGGCTTAAAGCTAATAGGGAGTTAACTAGCTTTCACTTGCTTATTAAATAAGATACTAAGTGGGAGGAGATCTTGTGTGACCGAAACATTACAAAAATAATTCGGGATTACAAAATCTAATTGCTGATGATGTAAAAATAAGTCGAATGATTTTGAAAACCCGTTTTGAAGAAAAAGTAATACCCTAAGTACATAAAGTCGATAGAAATACTAAAACAAGATCACTCTGAACTCTTGATGGCATAAACACGCGAGGTTAGGAGCGACCGGTATAAGAAAAATATGTTGAATACTGGGAAGAAGCAGAATCTAACCTAGCTCCGACGAAATTGTAACTAACAGCCAGTGCTTAAGAGTTTAATAAAATCTTTAAAATATCTTTACACTCTGACTAAGAAAACCAAAAAATTAAAAAATTTATATTTCCTTGTATAAATCAAAGTATTGCAAATAAGTGTATGTATTTACTCAATTGCTAAGTGTACTTGCTACTTACTTAAGGACATTTGCACAGCTGCCAATGGCACTCGTATATATAATACATATATTCTATATTAGAGTGTCCGTTATTTCCCAAGTTGACTTTTTTTTTACAAACGTTCACTGAAGTTTCAGTTTTGCCCTAAAACAAGCTTCTAACGTAACTCTTTATTTTTCATTTTATTCGTGCCTAAATCATATTTCTTTTCTTATTTATGTAACATTTTTTGATATTTTTAATTAAGACAGAAAATTTTATAACTTTGAAAAAAAATGTTCTAACATAAAATTTTTCACTTTGTCAAAAAAAGTTTAACTTTAGCTGCTTATAACTTTAAAGGAATGTTTTATGAACAAAAAAAAATTTGTTTTTGGTATATCAAGGACACCCTAATATACATATAGGGGCTTGTGCCAATTGAGCTTATTATCAGCATCGTCGCATTATTCGCACAATTGTCGTGCTGATTTCGCTCTTCACAGAAGATCAGTAAATAACCTAGGTTATATATACTTACACGCTTACAACTCTTAACACAGCAATTATGGTATTTCTGCTCGAAGGCACAACAACGTTCAGCTGTAAGTGTGCAAATACTTTAGGAATATTTGCGGATGTACAGAAGATTTTATATATCGAGCTACCAGGATTTTTGAGGTCAATAGCCGAAATTGTGTAAGCACAGTACAGTGAATGAGTCGTCACCACATTTAAGAGAACACTTAGGAACATTTTCGCTACATAACAAAACTGATGGCTAGGGTTCTGCAATAGTTATAATAAACTTTTGGAACCTACGTACTTTTCTTGCCGAAAAGGTTAATGTTTCTAGAATTAAATTTCGTCGATTATTTTACAATATCGTTATAAGATTTAATGAGTATTCCTTTCGTATATCAATGTTTATTTCTTCAATTTTATAGATGATATCCCTACCGAGACTTGTACCAAAGTCTTTTAGCCAAAGGAATACAACAAATCCTCAAATTCCCATGAACGCAATAAGTCCTCCGCCAAAGCGACGACGAAATGTAGAAAAAATTATGGTATAGATTTCAGTGAAAGTCACTGTTCCGATATGTGAACACACTTCCATTCTTTAAAAACCACGTCATTTTTTGTTAGTATACATATATGTATATGTTCATACATATGTACTTAAGCATACACTTACAGGATTATCAACAAACATGGGTGCAAATGCAATTGTTCTACTTGTCAATTGTTCATGTTTTTCTTTGACAATTTATTGGCGAAACCGCCGGAAGTATACTTGCAGAATCGCTTTCATGTTCGCGGGCCAAACAAGCATCCGGTGCAAGGAAATAAAGTGCAGCGAGGGTAATAAGCAGACATTATAAGCATTGCAGCATTACGAGGCTTTGAGGAGTATCAATAATAGAAATGGCAAAGTTCCTGACGTACCGGAACATGTAGGTTTAATAACCCCTAAACGAAATCAATATATTACAAGTCCAGACAATATTCTCTTCACACAAGCAACTGCTGCCTTTACATATTAATAACATACGTGTCGATTTTTGTTAGAAATACACTACTTGCCTACTAGTTTAAAACAGATACATAATTGTTTTGTTCAATTTTTATCGAAACAAGTTCAAAGAAGTCAAGAACCATCAAGTATTTGAGTATTTTCTGTATCAACTTTATAAAACTTAATTATATTCGGACAACTTTGATTATAGTCAGGAGATTCTAGTACTAAACTTAAATTTTTTCACCGCCTAGTTTGATATTTCCTACGTGGAACTTCATTGCATCATCGAAACACGTACAAATACAAACCTATAAGTACTGGCGCAAACGCTTGAAAGACAGTTCAACAATCGTCATTCAAGCGAATCGAATATCCTGTTGACACAACCGTCAAACCAGTAAAAATGTCGACAATTTCTATTCTCAACACAGCTCCGTGTGTGAGTATGTACATATGTATGTATCATCACATCTCCGAAATCCTAATCGCCTTACCGCAACGTGGCGCTGTGCTGTCCTTACACTCTCCTAAATACACACATATTACAATACATACATTACTACTGCGAATATTTGCTTTTCTCCACGATTGAGAACTCATCGAAGCATCGCATCGTTCGCCCAGCAATCGCTCGCTTTTAAAAGTGTCACCCTTTTAAACTTAATAAGCTATAAACCTCTGCAATAACACCATTTTTGATACTATCTACGTCTCTGTCGCTATCAAACTAGTACTGATAATCCGTTTCGTATAACTCTGTAGCGTAATCGTCCACTCAACTGGCTATAAAATATACCTTGTTGGTTAGTAACTTGGGGCATGTGATACTAATATTTCTGACATTTTAAACACTATTGAAAACATTGGACACAACTTACGTTGTCAAAAGCGAACCCGTCGAAAAGGTTTGATATTTTTTCTTGCATGGCTTATACTGTACACAAAGCACTTTCGATTTATTTATGTAATAAAAACATTTTACTTTTTGCTTTTTTTTGTTTTATTATGATGACCTTGAACTTGCATTCTGTTTTCGTTGTTTATTGTTGCCAAATTTATGTTATTTATTTGCTTAGGGAGTTGGTAAGGAAGGAAAGTTTTTAGTATAACAAGTTAACATGAGGAGCGGGAAAAATTTTCGCCAAGTACATACAAGCAAAAGATTCTCTAATGATATGCGACTATTCAAACAATTTTATGTTGATATAATTAAGCTAATTAGATTGCTTGTGAAGAAAAATTGTTTGCCACCAAACTTTATTCGTTTCTATGAACGAAACTAACCAAGTATATACTGACGGTGAACTAATTTTTTACAACGAGCTTATTAGACCCTAATTCTATAAAACTACACATATTTCAGTGTGGAGTGCCATAAATGTAAAGAGTTTACGTGATATCCAATTGCAATATCTCTCTCATCAGTGTTCGTGAGCACATGAAAAATGTAAATTAGCACGAGAAAGCTAACAAATGATCCGAGGTGGGAGTATCACTGATGGTTTCTAAATTAAAACTATATGTTAAAGTATGGTATCCACTTAGCACAAATGGCAAGGAACTGAATTTAAAATATAGCAAAGTTCAAACTTAACTGATATTTAAACATGAAACCACACTTTTAGCTCCGATTAATAGAAAACAAAGACCGAAAGCAATATAAAAAGGCCCAAGCTTACAATTAGTAATATGTCAAAATAAAATGCCACGAATTTGACAGTTTTTAAGAAAAGAGTATATTTAAGTACCCGAATCAAATTTGAAAAAAAGAATTATAAATAAAATCCCAAAAATTATTGAATGATAAAAATTAATTTTTTTCTAAAATTTTATTTAATAAAAAAAAAAGTCAAGAAATTGTGACAGTAAATCACAGTCGTGTGCCCTCGCCGTAATGATAATAACATTAGCTGCCGATATACCAAATTTCGAAATTTGTGACTTAGGAAACTAATAATAATTAATAAAAAAACTCATAACACCAGAAAAAATTATATGGTTATGTTTATAATTTGCCGTCGTCTGCAACTGTATTTATTATTGCTGTTTTTTTTTTTCTTTTTTGCACTTAATTGTATAAAACCCCATACAGTTTGAGAACTTTTCGCTAAACCTTTGCGATTTCAAAAAGTTTGTTCTCAAACTTTTCTCAATAAAAATAATTATTTAAATGTCATTGTCGAGCAGCACCAGTTGTCATTTTTTTCACTCCATATATTTTCAAATATCTGTATATTTGAATATACAAACGACAGTCAAATGCGACGAACTCTGAAAGTTATTAGCAAGTGTTGACAAGGGAAATAAGTTGGCACAATTTGCTTATTATTTACTGACATTCGCATATAACTTTCAATAATCCATATACTCATTTACAAGTATGTATACTTATTTGTAATTTTATATATACGCAAACTTATGATATTTTCCTTCCAATTAACTCATTGAGCCGTCAATCATTTAAAAAGCTGTAAAAAGTTTCTGAAGCTCAAAACTACTACATAATGAGGTGGTTTTATTAAAAATAAAATAGCATGCTGGAAGGGATATGGCAACAAAAAATTTTAAACTTTAAAAGAGTGAGATACGCAATACCGCCCTTATTCCCGAACTAAGAAAATTTACCGGAAAATTAGGGAAAATAGTTGTAAAAACCTTATGGGGGCGTCCATACCATCAGTTAGAGTTACCGAAAATAGAAGATATCCAGAAAATTAATATAATTTCTTAGACAGGAAGTCATAACAGAGTTCACTTATTATATAATAGGTATTATAAGGCTAAAAAATTTTAACTCCTATTTTTAGTCACTAATTGTTCACCGCAGAATTAAACCCGTAAATAGGACCTCTTTCCTTACCCCTAAGTTTCAAGTAAAACTAGTAAAAAAAAATTTTATTTACTATTTATTTTATTTAACCGCACCCAACTTGTAATTACATGGCAGAAATTGTTGACTTGCGCTCTTCAAGTGCACAGCAAATAACTGTTACACATTTACGCTCGACAATTTTCAATATTGTTGTCTGTAAATTGTCTTTTGTTTGAAAAACCACACAACGCTTCGCAATTATCGTTATATGCACTCAGCCGCCCACCTTTTTACAGGTTTACCGTACCACCTATGTATAACTCCATTGGTCGAGTATAGTGCTTCAGAAATGGTATTAATTTGTTTCATGTTTGGTTTTATTTGTCGAATTTAACAAGCAATCGGGTTCACTCATTGTAAACATTCTAGAAAAAATAAGGTGAATTAAATACCGGACACAATGCAGTACACACAAAAGACAAATCGAACGTTGAAATGATTATTGCAATTGAAGAGATAACTCTGAGAGAGAACCATAAATGAATAGAAGAATATACAATCATTGGCATGGAATTGAGAAAAACATAGTGCGGTAATTAATCTGCTAAGTAAAATAATATCTTTTGAAGTTAATAATTGTAGATGAAACTGTAATCAAGCGTTCAGAAATGCTTCATTTACTGTTGGACTTTTTTAGATATTAAAAACTTTTGTTTTTTAAGAAACTGCTAAGTATTTTAAGCATACCAGCATTAAGCTTTATGCTTTTCGAATTTTCTCGGAATGGTTTAAGGCTCTAGATGTTCCAGAAAACAACTTTTAAGATTAATTGAACATATTCCGCAAATATGTATTGTACTTCAAATCGCAACGAATCGGGGGTTGGAAATTAAAAAAAAAAACAAAATCATGAAAAATATATATGTCTTTTTTTTTCATCAGAGATAGAATACATAGGTAATATTATGAACCAAATTTCCGCTTAGGCGACAATAGCATACATTAATTCCAAATAACTGCAAAATATTTATGGATCCCCTTATAAACTTTTTCTGAATGTAAAAATATTGGAGTAAAAGTCTGAATATTAAAGTTTGCTGGCTTTTAAGAACAAACAAATAAATGCAGTCATATAGTCAGAAATAAGGACAAGCGTCACCATTTCGGATTCGAAAACACCATGACAATATCAAATTCAATGAATTGGAAAACAAAACGCCACGAAAGCTATAAAAGTGTACATAGAGTGCGAACGAGCAAGCGAATTGACGTTTACAACACCTGACGAGCAAAGTAGAAATGCAAATGTAGCGGCCTTGCATCCATATTGGCGACGAGTTGAACGCAGAGGAATAAGAGGAGGGAGCCTGTAAACACACCTGTACTTTTCCATGCTATTATTGGCGAATTGCAAAGGCATTGTGAAACAATAAATTTTGCAGTAAAAATAACAAGCGAATAGTACGGTTGACTGTCATGAGAACTGTAAATATATTGAGGTTGAAAATGTTCTGGAGAATACTTTTAAAAAATTCAGATAAATTGATATACAAGGTGTGTTCAAAATATAATGGGAATTTTAAAATTCTGCGGGTTTGGAGAGTCCAATTTCTTATTATTATGTTGATACACAGCCTTTGAAGTACGATATAATTTTTAGCTGCATTCATTGCTTATTTTGTATGTGGGAGCCGCTAATATTTGACGTGTTTTTATGATATTGGTGTTTTTCGGGTCATGTATATCAGCATAATAAAAAAAAATTTTCAAACTGGCGTTATTTTCTGAAGACACCTCGTTTTGAAATATCCATCAAACAGGTATGACTTTTTTCGGTGAGAATTTTTCGATGGACAGTAATATAAAAATAGTTGTCAGCGATCGTACGACTGGTTGCTTTCATTTCGCGAAATGGAAAAAAATATTCATATCCCAGTGTAATATTGAAAATAACTGTAACCAAAATACAAGTAAAAACGAAGTAAGGTATGTTGCACTGAGCTATCACAAAAAAAGTAAGTTTGATACTGCAGTTGAACCATAAACAAATGAACTTAAGACCTTACTGGAGCCACTACATCTAAGTTGGGGTTTATGAGTAATAAGCATTTGAATGTGATTCAACAATGAAGAACTCCAAAACAGTAATGAATCACTGGAAGGAATAACGGTTATAAACTCCAGAATATGGAGAATGCTCGATATGTGAAGCCAGAACTTGTTTACATAACAACAATTTTAAAGTTGGTTTTAAGAAACCCGACTCGACCTAGTATGCATTCTACAAAGTGGAAAACTATATCTTGCAGGATTTATATCCATTGTTTTTCGTTTCCACTCTACTTACTTAAGCTAAATCTTCTATATTTGATAATGCGAGTGTTTTAAGGGACCCACCTAGCCTCGTATAACATAAACATATTGAGACATCTGTAGGTGCAAATGTATATATTAATGGATTATAGATCATTGAATCATGCTCGAATAGGAGGTAACTTGGCTATGCTAGTTTTATATGGCATTTGTTCAAAGCCCGTTAATTCTTCTGAACAGAAGAACTGCTAGTTTTCAGATAATTTGCTCCCTAAAATCATTTGTCCAATGCTTTTAAAATCATTGTAATGATAATAAAAATTAATTTACTCGAATTACAAATATATATACACGTCTATACAATAAACACCAGAGCCAATTGCTAGAAGAAGAACTTTGATCTATAAACCATGGCAGCTTAAAATAACACTGTTCAAATTATATGTCCCTTAACTGAATTAAAGTGGATTACGTCAGATTTATCAGATTGTTTGAATTATGCGTTAATTACACAATACTATTTAGATGTTAACTAATGAATGAGCGTGTAAATGACTGCCAAATTAAAGTGGCAAGCGATTAACTAGAACAACAACCGTGATCTATATGCATGTCTGTGTATACGTAATCTGCCTCCAAGCCTCCAAGCGATAAAATGTCTGGCCATCAAGTTACAATACAAACATATAAAGTGATGAGCAAAAGCTTCCGGGTATTTATAACGAACATTTAAGTACAATGTGTATAAGAAATAATTATGTGACGGTTTTAGGTAATTATATTTACCGTAATACAGGCATAAGCTGTACAGTGTTTTATGCTTATGTTTCATTCTTACAAAATAATTTTATTAAAACTTTTAATAAATGTTTCTTGTTAAAAAAAAAATTATTTAATTAAAATACTTGACTTTTACCCAGAATAATAACTTAAGAAATTATGCAGTCTAGTATTTGCAAAAAACTGATTTTTTATTTTTTTTGCTCGAAACTGCATTTATCAAATCGTGCGACTATGGTATTCGCAGACTATCGTACGTATCGCGTTTAAAATTTTTATTGTAGCATCCCAGCAACCTAATCTTGAAAAATATGTACCATAATTTTGTTATTACTTACTTATAAACAATTTACTGCTATTTTTTTCAGTCAATATTGTTCTTAGAAGGATCTTGTTGGCAATTTAATCTATAATTTTAGAATTTAGGTTAGTCGAGATCAGAATCCATCTATCGTTAGTCATGTGTTCAACCTACTGGATTCTCAAGTCAAAGAGTGGCTTCAATACAACTCGAAAATGCATATACTTGTATAAATGCAGTTTTTACCCTTATCTCTATGATCATATCTAAAATGAAATAAATCTTTCAGTTAGAAAAGACATTTGCGTATGCAAATTCATAAACTTGTGAATTTATTGATAATTTAAAACGTGTAAAAAAGCACTTTTCTCATATTTCATATATAAATTCGCAAATTAAACGAAGTTTCTTAAATTTTATCTAATTTCCAGATATAAAATTTTTATTTGTTACTATGAAATCTTCTTCCACTAAAATACATTCACTCTACTGTTGCAGGTCTCTTTTGCCGCTTCATCATACGTTACACCGCTAACGTTGATCTTCTTCTTGTATATGTGCATGCTGGCACGCCTATGGAAGAGCGCGCCCGGCTGTAAACCATCGGCAGAATCAAGGTAAGAAAAAGAGTATTAAGCCAAAGAAAGTGATTCATTGACAGCTAAGCTTGTGAGTAGCAAGCTTTAATTACACATACACATTCGAACACACACAAACATAATTCGGATTGCGAAAAGAAAAGCTTTGAAAAAAAGTAACGCAAGAAGATTCTTCTCTCATTCAATTTCTCCGCTTCCGTTAAATTCTGTTAATCCTACGATATTTGGCATCATAAAAAATCCGCGAAAACGTTGCGTGCTCATGCTTGAAACGAAAAATTTAATTACAGAATTGTTCAAATCGTTCTGTTTACAATTTAATTATATACACTAATAGTTACTTAAGTGCAGAAGGTAACTTTCGAAAAAGTGTTACCAGTGGAGATTCATTTACGAACTGAAGCACTATTGCAATTAATTCAACAATAACTTCTTGGGACAAATTTAAGTAAGCAGATTGAAATAAATATTATAGTACAGATCAGCTTTCAACAGAAAAAGCTGAAATTGTTACTCACAAAGTAAGCGAGGCAAAAAGGATTGCAAAGTAAATCAGAGTGGATGAAAAGAAAACAAATAAAGTGAATAAAGAGACGAAGCGAAAAAATAAGCAAATTAAAACAAAAAAATTGAAGAAACAAAGGCATAGTCAGTGAAAAAATAAAAAGAAAGAGGCGATAAAACGACACAAAAGGTTACTGAACAAGAAATTGGAAAAAAAATGTTGGAAAAATAATAGTTAACGGAATGATAAAATTAAAAAAAAAAAATCAAAGGTAAATTATTGCAGGCAAAGCCAACCAAAGCAAAGCTACAAAAAAAAACGAGAAACACAAAGAAGAAAAATAAAATGTTGAATGCTTAAAGGATGTTTTTAGCTATGTCGACTCAAGATCAAATTTGACTCGGACTAGTTCATTTAAATTGCGCATTCAGGTGCTTTGGTTTGAGGCGATCCATAAGAGATGTTGAGATTGCACTGATTTTTAAGCACTGATTCTTAAACTTTTTCAATGTTATCATTAATAACAGATTTGAGACAAATTGTTGATGTCCTCTCGACATTCACTAAATGCTTTGTGCCACTCAAGTACTTACATGTTTGTGATAAAGCAGATTGCACAAGACACTTCTGCAACATTTTCAACGACTCCGTAGACGTAATTCCATAGAAAACACAAAATTATCGTAAAAATCGCCAGATACACTTTTTGTGACGTAAATAAACAGCTGTGAAACACACGCCAATTGACATATGGAGATCATCACACGAACATAAGAAGTGTTGTTAGCCCCTCAATTTTGATGTTAAATGTATTTCGGCGCCTCATTTAAGTTATTGCTATTTAAGAGAAGCTTGAAAACATCTCATACCCAACAATAATAACTTTCACTGGCATCATAAGCCTCTAGGGAAAAAATGTCTGCAATTTTCTGGGGAGACACAAAGAAACAACGCAAACAAAACAAGCATATAACATGCGCATTTATCTTGAATTAAAGTAGTAGTCTCTAGAAGACTTTATGGTCTCCGTATCAGCATTTAATAACGGAACTCAAAGTTTTGTAGTTTCGAAAACTTCTTTTCCTATTCCTTTATTTAAATATTTTCTTCTTTATTTCTTTTACAGGAAGGGCAAACGGCGTGTAACTCGTATGGTTGTTGTGGTTGTGTGTGCGTTTGCCATATGTTGGCTACCAATACATGTAAGTTCCAAATCAATTCTTAGCACAGATATTTTTATACCGAACACCTTGTGGAAAAGATTCTTAAAAACACTATCGATAGAGATGCAAATTTTTACCAGTATACGTCAATCGTTGAAGTTGTTTGGAGAAAGGCTCGATGGAAACAGCTGTACACTTGTTCCTCGACTCCAGAGTTTTCGCTAGAAAGTTGACGTTGAAATATTTTTGTTCTCAAACTAAGACGGAAAATAAGGCAAATTAGTCCAATTAATCTTGCCCTATTCACTCACTATCTACTATACTTAACATATAAAGTATCAACTGCAATTACGTGATCAGTTTGCAATAGCTTGTAAATAGTATATCTCTGCCTATAAATTAATTACTGGCTTCATAATTTGATTTACCGAGAGCTAAAAAACAAATTACTGGCAAAAGGGCAGCCGACTTGTGAGCACTTGATCACAGTTAGGAAACTATATTTCAAATATTTTAGTGAGAACTTAAATTTACACTAAGCGGCACTGAAAGATATTGAAGTAAAGTGAATAAGTGCATTGGGCTAAATTATATGTAAAATATCTTTGAGAGAGGAACGCTTACTGGAACACCCTCACGTTCTCTGCTTCCTCCTTTAAAGAGTACATTAGCTTAAATATGAATATTTTTTAAAAACTCCGAGGACAGTAACTAAGCTCGGTTGATGATTATACTTGCTCCCTACTCACTAAGAAATCACATACTATTTTAGCGTAGTGAGGAAAGTTCAGCTCACGACTGAAGACAGCCCATAGACATTCATTTGGAGACAGGCTAAAGTGAGAAGGCGAACTCCGCTGGGGCTTGGGACCCACCACATAAAAAACTTGTGATAACGAAGAATCTGTAGCATAATTATATCATCCTCCCCTAGAACTTTCAATCCTGGCAATGCACCGTTCTAAGTACATTCTGCTAGAATCAATACACCAAGTATCAGATATCCTATCAGTTATCGATACTTTATTCTTTTCCATTGAGTCTAGCGCATTTTTAAATAGGGTAAGCATTCTACACTTGATCTAGTTCAGAGTTATCTTCTTGCACTGATATCCTTACTGACTTCTTTTTGATGATATCTATGATTGAAAATTCTGTACAGAATGTTGGTTAATATCTCCCATTAAAGCACTTACAATAACTAATTTAAACGCGTATGTAACGATATTCGAACACTCAACTTATACACTTACATTCATACGCACTTCTCAACTATAACACATATGCTATTTTTATACGCATATAAATGAGATGACTTTCAATAACACACAAATATGTACATCTACTTGAACCTTTTATGTAAATACATACCACAGAACTCTTAACAACTGTTCATAATAAATATGAATATTTTCCGAAGTTTCGTTTGACTTGTCCTCTTCACAAGCGTAATATTACTCGCAGCTAACGTTTCACTTAAGAAAAGGCTATAAAGTATGAAATTGAATGAAATCACTCAATAAATCACATGCGTAGCGCATGTGGCTAGCTGTTCGACATGGCGTATGAGTGATATTAATATCAACATAACAATACGAAAACTTTTTACGGGTGGAATGTGTATTTTGTAAAGCTTTCACATTTTTGCCGTCAAGCTGGTCTATTTGTATACACATTTATATACATATATAAATTCTGCATTTGCCTGGACTCAAAGTCGACCTTATATTAAATTTTTCTTTAATTAAAACAGTTAAAAATCTCGAAAAAGTTGTCTGAAAGAGACAAAGGGAGGAAATCGAGCACACTTGAGAAACAAAGGGTCTCTGCTACACAAAATGGATTTCATTTTGTTCATAATGCTGGATGAAATTTTTGCTGAGAACGCTAGGGCTTGGCAGCAAGAAATAAAATATTGTTGAAATTATTGAGTTGCTTGATCTATGAAGCTTTGTCATCTAATCCTCAAAACTGCTCCAGCTGAAGGGGGAACCATCAATATACTTGTATCGACTGATATTTTGTTGCTTAACACAGTTTCGCTTTGTTAAGCAACCACGATGTTTCTATCTAACCAAATCGCTAACCATTGAGAACTTTTTAGACGTAGCACTAAGGAACATTCGAACCCGTTTAATCCCAATTAACTATGGTAAAGATATTGTATCTAAAAGAGAGATAGTGTTGCAAAAATTTCAGCGGCAGTTTTGTTCTTAATGCAACTCGTCCTAAGGACATATTGTGCCATATTATTATAGAAGTTTTCATAGACTTTTATGAAAATGTTTGCAAAAAGCTATAAATTCTTGATTATAGAGTAGAGGCAAAAAAAAATTTTTATTTTGATAAATTGTCTTTTAAAGTTATATAACGTATTTCCTACAGGGCACATTTATTTGCATAGTAAAAAGGTCGCCCATATGTACCAATGGTATGTTTGCAAATATTTATGCATATAATACGAGTACAGCGAAAACATATTTTGTAAACAAACCAGATGTTTAATGTAGGTGCATATATTGCATTTATATGTTTCACAGTCCGTCCGGTCATACTACTGGAAAAACATCAATACCGTCCCTAAGTAAATACATATGTATTTATAAACATATACATATGTATGCAGTCCAAAAACTCAACAAGGTTGGTTTCAAGCAAATATTAAATTTAAATGTATATATGTATGTGAAGATGGATTTTTATATATTGTATATTGTTTGTTTATGTCTCTCTACAAATAGAAATAAACTTATATATGTTAGTAGAACTAAAGTATTTAGTTTACTTTTGTTTCATATAAATATTGTACAAAAATTTCTGAAATTCAAATTTTACTAAATAACTGGAAAAAATGTCTTTAGTTTGAGTTTACAACACCTTGGTTGAAAGGATTTTAAAAAAATTTCATTTTGTAGAAGTAATAAATACAAAATATTGCCTCTGACATACAAATTTTTATAAAATAGAAAAAAAAAAGTTTTGCCGCACACAAAAATGTGAAGCTTAAATAAAAAATGCAACGAAATTGAGAAAAGACACTGTACTAGTACGGTAGTTACGTATGGAATATAAGGCTAAAATAATGAAACTAATAACTTTCAATTCAATTCGAGTGATTCAATTTCACATTGTCATGCGGACGAATATTAACAAGTCCACTCGACTTCAAAAAGTTCTAAAGAGCTAATATGGAGAAAATATTAATTAAAAATATATACGTCAAATATAATACACTAATAGCTCAGTAATTCAACTGTCTCAGTTTTTTAAAGTATTAAAAAGGTTTCTGAACCTTGATACTTAAAAGAATATAGCGAATCCTCAGAACTCCGCCAGCGCAAAACTTTTTAACAATAGCGCCACTAAGGCGTGTCTTCCATAATATCACCCGCAGTTAAAATTTCAGGTTTTATAACCAGATTTTTCATATTAGAACTCTCTCCTATAGACTGCCAAGCCTTCGACAATAATCCGTGACAAATTACGTGAACATATCTCGTCAAATAAAAATTCTTCTATACAAGGATTGGATTTTGATCGATCAGTTCGTATGGCAGCTATATGTCATAGTTTTGATTTGAACACTTACTTTGATGGTTATATCATTGCTTTGGATAATAATTCGTGCCAACTTTTGTGAAAATATCTCTCTTTAAATAAAAAATGTTTTAATACAAGAACTTGATTTTGATCATTCAGTTTGTATGTTAGCAATATCCTATATTGATCCTATATCGACGGTTCCGACAAACGAGTAGTTTCTTGGGAAGAAAAGGACGTATGCAATTTCGATATCTTAAAAACTCATTGGCTTGTTCACATATATACAGACAGACGGACATGGCTAAATCGACTCAGCTCATCATACTTATCATTTATATATATATTTTGTATGTTCTCCGACGCTTCCTTCTGGGTGTTACAAACTTCGCGACAAACTTAATATACATACCTGTTTAAGGTATAAAAATAGAAAATTTAAAAAGAATAAAAACAAAACAAACTTATTTTAAAATTTAATGATAATATTGCACCTTTTAGTTCATATAGAGCGCAATACTAGAGGCAATTAGTAAATTTTTAAAATGACTGATTTAAAAATATTTCAAACCAACGCGTATGTGAAAAAAGTTTGAAAAAATTTCTCGTTTGGCACTGGAAGGACCTAATCACTTTATTGGCATATTTTTTTAATAGTTTTATAGTAATTTATTAAATTTTAGAATATCAACTGTATTTCCCTCCGTAAGCATAAAAGAGTCTCGCTTAGGAAAGTATTTTGGAAGAACTTTCATTTCTCAATACCTGAAAATCAATGGCATTTCATAGGTATTTAAATTTAATGATGATCTGTCTTGACTCCATCAGAAATCGCAATTGCTAAGAAAAAATTGAGTATAGACCAATAAAAAAATTTTAAATAGAAATAGGTGATTTTCTTCCAAGTTTGGGGCTATTTGTTTCTGCATGATCGTTATCAGAAATAATAATCTTAAATTGAAGATCTCCGATATCAATATATTAATTCTCTTTTTAGATGAAAAATATGCGTTTGTTCCGATACTTCGTTCTTTAACCTTTATAAAGCTTAATAAACCCATCTAATCTCAAAATTTCACAATTTCTTTTAATTTCCATTTTATTCCCAAAGCCAGAATTTAAGTTTAATTTTCTTGAAAATATCAAATTAAATGCTTTCATAGCAAACTGTGTAATTGGGTCAAAGTCAAAATAAATATTTCTGGTCAATTGCGTAGCAATATTTATTTGGATTTATTTAGTTTTGGTTATGCAAACTGATTTCGTTGCCATGAAGCTAGTACTCGTATTTGTAAAGAATATGTATGTATTCTATATATCTTTTATTCTTTTTTGTGTGTTCATTTGCAATCAATTTATTTTGTTGAATTAATTTATTTAGAGCCTTAAACCGTTTATGCGGATTTTGCTCATATCAGCAACTAATAAAACATTTGAGTAAATATATTCTACATATGTATATTGGAATTTATTCTTTTATATGTAAGTTTTGCATTCCG